CAGGGGCACACCATCAAGAGGAAACCCTGGTGCACACTGCAGCCTCAGCACTGCCAGCAAGAAAGGAGGTGATGATGTAGACTCATCATTTGTAGCAGATGGAGCACCCAGCTTCCCCGTGTTGGAAGTGGGGGCGACTGTGGGTGGCTGAGGACAGGCATCACACGGGAACTCTCAGTGCTTTCCCTTAGAGCTCAACGTGAGCCTAAAAACTGCTCTAAAGAATATTGATTTTTTTTTTCACCCATGCTGGGTACAGACTCGGGAACTTGTATATGCTAGGGAAGTGCTTTGCCACTGGTCTGCACATACACAGTTAATCGATTTTTTTTTTTTTAATCTGAGGGGAACACAGGTACTGGAGTTCAGCAAGTAAAAGTGCTTGTTGTCAAGTCTGATGACTGAGCTGAACACTAGGTCCCACATAGCGGAAGGAGAGAATTGATTCCCGTAAGTTGTCCTTTGACCTCTACACACATACACCATACCCTGGTATGCTAGCCCTTACACTCAAAGTAAATGAAAATAAAAAAAATATTTTGTTTGGTTTTTTTGCGCGCGGGGGTGGGGGGGTTCAAGACAGGGTTATTGTGTGTGTGTGTGTGTGTGTGTGTGTGTGTGTGTGTGTGTGTGTGTGAGTGTGATTCTGGCTGTCCTAGAACTAGTTCTGTAGACCAGGCTGGCCTCAAACACGTAGAGATTCACCTGCCTCTGCCTCGTGCTGGGATTAAAGGCTTGCGCCACTGCCGGTTGGCCTCTACATTTAAATTTAAATAGACTCAAATCACACATAGAACTGAGCTGAGCAGCAAGAGTAAGTTTCACCGGCGGGGGATGTGGCTTAGTGGCAAAATGTTCATCTAGAATCTTGCAGTTCGGAGCTGGGAGTGTAGCTCAGTGGTAGAGCTCCTGCCTAGAAACTCCCAGAGAGGGGTCTTCCTGGTTTATATGGTTCTAGGCCATCTAGAACTACACAGTGACTCTTTTTTGTTTGTTTTGTTTTACTCTTTTGAGACAGAGTCTCAAGTATCCAAGGTTGAATTTGAACTTCTGATCCTCTTTCCTACTTCCCACATGCTGAATGCTGAAATGGCAGCCCAGTACCACCCTGCCCAAACGTGTCTCAGCTATATGCTGAATTTACTAGCAGCTTGTGCTACAAGAGGCCCTGTCTATAACACATGTGCATGTGCACAGAGTTGTGTTGAGCAATAAGTGACTGAATGAAGAATCTAGTCATTGATGTGGGCTGTGATGGTTCCTGTCCCCGTTTGTTGTGTGACTTCCAGCTGGTCAGATGCAATGTGCCCTGGGAGGGCCACCCTTCTGCTCTGCCCCAACACTTGCCCTTCTTCTGGTGCTAGGATGCTTTGCCAGCCTTCCTTCCCCAGCCTGACGTGTCGAAATCCTGCCACTGTCTCCCGAGCGCTGCCTCCGTTTCTCCACAGGTGAGATGACCACCCTGCAAACAATAGTGTGACTGTGAGCAGACTTCCTTTGTCCTCTTCATGGGGCTCCATGAAGGAAGACCCAGAATTCCAACCCTGCCACCAGTGCTGGGGCGGGACCTGGGTGGCTTGTGGGAGGATGGTGGGATTCGGATCTGCAAAGGTGACTATTGGGGTCAGAGCTGCCTCACGGGGGAGCCAGTGACCTGAAAAAGCCAGAGCCAACTGTCTTGGGGTGGAGTCTGCAGAGGTGAAACTGCCCTGTTGCAGTGGGAGGATAGAGCACGGAGCAGGAAATCTCTCTCTCTCTCTCTCTCTCTCTCTCTCTCTCTCTTTCTCTCGTTTTTGTTTTTGTTTTTTATTTTTATTTTTTCTGGAGCTGAGGATTGAACCCAGGGCCTTGTGGTAGCGCTCTACCACTGAGCTAAATCGCAAATCCTGTTTTTTTTATTTTTCCGAGATGGGGTTTCTCTGTGTAGCCCTGGCTCTCCTGGAACTCACTCTGTAGATCAGGTTGCCCTCAAACTCAGAGATCTGCCTGCCTCTGCCTCCCGAGCACTGGGATTAAAGGTGTGCGCCCTCCCCCCACTCCCCACCTCCACCCCGGCTAGAATCTGTTTCTTGTAGGGCAGTTTTCACATTTCTGGAAAGCAAGAAATCAAATGTGGGAAGTTTTGCTTATCAGCCCACTCACCCCACTTCGATCTTTTTTTTCTTTTGAAACGGGGTCTCTAGGCTGGCCTCTAATTCACTATGTTAGTCAATGATAACCTTAGACCGCTGCTCCTCATGCTAGAGATCAAACCCAGGACTTTGTGTATGCTAGGCAAGCACTCTTTTGTCAACTGAGCTTTAGCTATTATTGTTGCTGTTGCTATTATTATTGCTGCAGTACTGAGGGCTTAGGGGAAGCATTCAAGAGCTAGAGGCAGAAAGACCAGAAAAAGGTTGGAGATAGACTTCTCTGACCGTGTGTGAGGGCCTGGTACAACCTCAGGGGTGGTGTGGGGAGTGGGGGATGCACAGTGATAGGCCTTTGTTGTGAACCCGGCCTTGAATAGCCAGTTTGCCTGGAGACCAGGGAGGAAAGGGGGCGGGGCCAGTGGATACACTGGATACTCTGGAGGCTACACTTTGGATCCTTTAATGGCAAAGATTGAAGGAGCATCAGCTGCTACTGGTGTGCCCATTTCTCAAATGGCGACTTGGCAACCAACCTGTGTCCTGTTCTGTCCTGAGGGTAGTGTGTTGTCTCCCAGCTTTGTCCCCAGTCAACCCTAGATTCCAACCACGCTTGCACTGTCTGCCTTGGTCACTCTCCTCCAGCCTCTCTCTGCCCAGGTCTATCTATGTATGAGCCTCTATTACCTTTTCTTTGGTCTCTTTTTCGAGAAGGTCTCACTATGCAGCCCTGTCTGTCCTGGAACTTACTATGTAGACCAGGCTCACCTCAACTCACACATCCACCTGCCTCTGCTTCTAGAATACTAGAATTAAAAGTGTGCACCATCAGGCCGGGCGGTGGTGGCGCACGCCTTTAATCCCAGCACTCGGGAGGCAGAGCCAGGCGGATCTCTGTGAGTTCGAGGCCAGCCTGGGCTACCAAGTGAGTTCTAGGACAGGCGCAAAGCTACACAGAGAAACCCTGTCTCGAAAAACCAAAAAAAAAAAAAAGTGTGCACCATGACGCCCAGCCTGTTTGGGAGGAAAAAAATCAAATTTCTTAGGTTTTGTTCTTGCCTGAGGTAGTTTATTGTTTTAGGGACTTTTGTTTGAGGCAGTGTCTCACGTATCCCAAGCGGGCCTCAAACTCATTGTGCGGCTAGGGATGGCCTTGTACTTGCCCTTTCGCCTTCACCTCTGAAATACAAGACTTAGGAGATTTGTTGCTTCATGCTCGCCTCAGATTTGCCTCAGCCTCAGAGCTGGGATGACAGGTGTCCACTACATCTGGCCATTGAATTTTGATGTCTACACTAGAGACCACATCTGGACACAATTATGTTTTTTCTAGTGGCCTCTGCTCTCATTGTTTTGGTCTTGAGCCTCAGCTTTTAAGAGCTAAGGGCATCTCTCCAACCCAGAACCTTGTGATGGTGTATGCATTTGCCTTCTACCTATGGCGTTCACCACACTGAATACCTCCTGAAGGAAGGGGGCACATCTGGTTTGGTTTCTACCATATTGGCCCAGTGGTTGCTTGGTGAATGAATGAGAGGGTGGGTGAATGGCTAAATGTAGGAGTTGATAGATGAAGACTGGTAGGTATACCAGTAGATATTGAATAGGTGGGTGAATGGATGGACAGATAAATGGGATTCTTGACCCACCACAGTAGTTTTCTCATGTGTCAACAAGTGGTCCAGGTAGAGAAGCATCAGAGCTTATCCATCACCCCTTACGCTGGAACAGAACCATGTCAGGAGGGAACTTAAGACTCCCAAACCCAAAGGGACTTATTTTCAGAGGAGTTACTTCCTCCATCTTTAGCAACTTGTCATGGCTGGCTGATCCTTAATTCAAGGCCTGGGGAGCCTTACCCTTGAAATTTCTGGTGCCAGTCACATCCTGGTAAAGGGAAGAGCAACCAAGACTGCTCTCACTTCCCACTGTCTTGCAGAACTCAAAGGCTAACAGCACAGAAATGAGGCCTCCAGCACTCACAGCCCTGGCCTGGCCTTAGAAATACAGAGCTGAGGCCATAGGCAGTACCCTCCAGTCAGAAGACAGGATTACCACTTCCCAGGTGGCAGGCAAAGGTGCTAAGCTCCCTTTCCCCAGGTAAGAGCAGGTTTGTGTTTATGATGCAGGAGGCCAACTTGCCCTCCCCACCACTCCAAATTCAGTAATTTTTCCAATATCCACCCTTAAGACACATGAAGTCTTCATAACTCAACAGGCTGTCATGCCCTCCCACTGAGGTCCCTCTTTGAAGCAAAATGAACAGCTCCTATTCACCCCGCTCCCCAAACTAGCAAAGCCAGAGAACCACAAGCTTTGTTTGTAAGGTGTGCACTTTTATTAAACTGGTCTCAAGTCAGTGTACAGGCAAGCCCTGGCTGCCTCAACACCTCAACCCACTCCCAGGGAGACCAAAGCCTTCATACATCAAGTTGGGGGGACCAAAAAAAAAAAAAAAAAAAAAAAAAAAGGGAGGGCCACTCTGATGGCTGACCATTCAAAAGTAAAAACAAAAGTATTAAGGCGGAAGATTTAAAAAAAATTTTGCAGTACATAATTTACACAGAAGCAATGTTGTCACCTCCCCAGTGTGGACTCAGCCACCCTCTTCTAGGTAATGGGGGTGGCTTTTGGGAGAGTGAGGGACTTCCTGTAGCCATGTATCTCTCATGGACACTTGGAATGACTATTAAAAAAGAAAAAAAAAAAAAACAACAATGTACAATCAAAGTCCTCAGCCACATTGTAGAACTTTGGGGGATGCTTGCTCCAACCGACTGCTGTCGCCTTCACCGTTCCAGTTTTTAAATCCTGAGTCAAAAGCGCCAAAACAAAACAAAACAAAAAAAAAAAAAAATTTTTTAAAAACTTAAAAAAAAAAACAAAAACAAAAACAAACAAAGCCATGCCAATGTTGTCTCATTTTTTTTTTCTGCGCAAGTTAGGTTTTGTCAAAGAAAGGGTGTAAAACGCAGCTCAGTAACAGTCCGCCTAGAAGCATTTGCGGTGCACGATGGAGGGGCCGGACTCATCGTATTCCTGCTTGCTGATCCACATCTGCTGGAAGGTGGACAGGGAGGCCAAGATGGAGCCACCGATCCACACAGAGTATTTGCGCTCAGGAGGAGCAATGATCTGAAGAAAGCAAGAAGATACAGTGATGGTGAGCATTCTGGATGCCGGTCTTACCTGCAGCCAAAGTGTTTGCTCTGGCAACCACAGGGCCCACCCCACCATGGGTCCAGGCCTAAGGGTGCTTAGTTCACCTTGATCTTCATGGTGCTGGGAGCCAGAGCAGTGATCTCCTTCTGCATCCGGTCGGCAATGCCTGGGTACATGGTGGTGCCACCCGACAGCACTGTGTTGGCATAGAGGTCTTTACGGATGTCAACGTCACACTTCATGATGGAATTGAATGTAGTTTCATGGATGCCACAGGATTCCATACCTGAGGGGAAAGGGAGACATAGACTTAACAGTGTTGACTCAAGAGTTGGTCACCATTAGATAGAGAAGGAACTAAGTCACTCAACTCACCCAGGAAGGAAGGCTGGAAAAGAGCCTCAGGGCAGCGGAACCGCTCGTTGCCAATAGTGATGACCTGGCCATCAGGCAGCTCATAGCTCTTCTCCAGGGAAGAAGAGGATGCAGCAGTGGCCATCTCTTGCTCGAAGTCCAGGGCAACATAGCACAGCTTCTCTTTGATGTCACGCACGATTTCCCTCTCGGCTGTGGTGGTGAAGCTATAGCCACGCTCGGTCAGGATCTTCATGAGGTAGTCTGTCAGGTCCCGGCCAGCCAGGTCCAGACGCAGGATGGCATGAGGGAGAGCGTAGCCCTCATAGATGGGCACAGTGTGGGTGACCCCGTCTCCGGAGTCCATCACAATGCCAGTGGTACGACCAGAGGCATACAGGGACAGCACGGCCTGAATGGCCACGTACATTGCTGGGGTGTTGAAGGTCTCAAACATGATCTGCAAGGAAAAAATGGGCCTTTGTCAAGCTCTGAAAGCCACAAATAGTCAAGGTAGGTGGGATTGTCAGGACAGATTTGGGACATGCAGAGTGCAAGAACACAGCTAAGGTAAGTGTGCTGGGAGTCTCAGGACAGGGGCTCCATTTAGACCTACTGTGCATCTACTGAATACACACTCCAAGGCCACGTATCACCAGCCTCATTAGCTTTGTCACACGAGTCATTGTTAGTACCTATACCCACAGCACCGTAGGCTTTTAAACACCTAGTCTCAGAAAGGCAATCGAGAGAAAAAAGACCTCATCTGGGAAAAAGTAGAAACTGCAAAGTTCCAAGGGAGACTCAGTTCATAGAAGAGAGTCCTATGGGAGAATGGCAGAAGAAAGACAATTGAGAAAGGGCGTGGCTGAGAAGTTGGCAAAGATGGAGGTGGCCACTGGGGCTGCTGACCTGGGTCATCTTTTCACGGTTGGCCTTGGGGTTCAGGGGGGCCTCAGTGAGCAGCACGGGGTGCTCCTCAGGGGCCACACGCAGCTCATTGTAGAAGGTGTGGTGCCAGATCTTCTCCATATCGTCCCAGTTGGTGACAATGCCGTGTTCAATAGGGTACTTCAGGGTCAGAATGCCTCTCTTGCTCTGGGCCTCGTCGCCCACGTAGGAGTCCTTCTGGCCCATGCCCACCATCACACCCTGCGGAGGGGAACGGTGTTCTCAGTACAGCCACCTCCCTCCAGGGGAACCCCAATATCGCCACCCTCAAAGAGAGGGGTCACCTACCTGATGCCTAGGGCGGCCCACGATGGAGGGGAAGACGGCCCGAGGAGCATCGTCGCCCGCGAAGCCGGCTTTGCACATGCCGGAGCCGTTGTCGACAACGAGCGCAGCGATATCGTCATCCATGGCGAACTACCAGGGCACAAAAGAGGGCCGTGGTCACCGCGGGGCCACCAGGCGCAGCCGCTGCCGCCCTGCCCACTTCCGGCACGCCGCGGCCTCGGGCCGCCAGGGGGCGCGCGCCCAAGCTCGGGGGACAAAGGAAGCCCAGGCCGGCCGCGTTATTACCATAAAAGGCAAACGCTGGTCCGGAGGCGGCCCCACGGCAGGAAGCCAGGCCTCCGCCCCCTCCCCAAACGGGCACAAGCCCCGCCTTCGCCCCGCCGGCGGGCGGCTGGTGCGCGCGCGCGCGGGAGGCGACCACACCCAACAGGAAGCGCGAGCGGGCGCTCCGAAGCCGCTACGACCCCGCCCCTTCCGGACAACGGCCCCGCCCTCGCCCAACCCCAGGTGGCCGTGCTTCAAGTCTCAAATACGCACGCGCAAGTTTAACTTGGAAGAGGGGGGAAGAGGAAGGGCTCCCTCCCCAGCGTGCACGCGCCCCAATACCCAGCGATAGGGCGCGCAAGCGCAGAGGCCTCCCAGCCCCCACCCGGCCGCGCCGCGCCCGCCAGCCGGGCAAGCCAAATGGGCAAACCGGTTTGGACAAAGACCCATGGGCCACCAAGGCGTGATCATAGCATTTGGCTCCCAACATTGTGTCCCCTCAAAGTGGGCAGATACGACTCAGCACCCGACAGCCGCATCGGTTCTCCTAGCGCCCACACTGCGACCCTAGTGAGTCCCCAAGCATCGTGCTCTGAGCCAGAGCAGGTCCACGAGTGTCTACACCGTGGCAATGCGGCTGCAAAGGGTCCGCACTCTGGGCGGAAAGTTGCATCTGCAAGTGTCCACTCCACAGCCAGGCACCACCCTCCACCCTTCCCCGGTGTCCGTACTGAGTGTCTCCCGCGACCCTGCCGTGAGGTAACTGCCCACGGGAGGGCTGTGGCCGGCTGGGCCTGGTGTCCCTGCTTACCTGGTGGCGGGTGTGGAGCGGCGAAGAAAGCTGCGAGAGGCCTGTGCTCGCGGGTGGACGCGGACTCGACAGTGGCTGCGCGTTGCGCCGCCGGGTTTTATAGAACGCCACAGCGGCCACTCGAGCCATAAAAGGCAACTTTCGGAACTGCGAGCGCTGATTGGCTCCGCGCCGCTCACTCACCGGCCTCGCCGCACAGTGCAGCATTTTTTTTACCCCCTCTCCCCTCCTTTTGGAAAAAAAAAGAGAGAGAGAGAGAGAGAGAGAGAAAGCGAGAGAGAGAGAAAGCGAGATTGAGGAAGAGGATGGAGAGTTTTGGCGGTGGGTGCTGGCCCCATAGGCCCGGACATGCACGAATAGCCTCTGCCCTTGTGGACACTGCCGGGATTCAGGGTCCCGGTTATCAGGCCTGCCATTCTGGGGGTCACTCACCCACCTTAGGACCCTCTGGGTGTGGATGTCATGTGAATATTGAGTACCTCGGTGGGCAAGGGTCAGCATAGAGGCCTGGGCCATGTTTACGTGGCTTCTTGTTTGAGGGACACGCGGAGCCTGGATTGAATGGGCAAGGAGTCACTCCCCCTTGCCAGCTATAGACCAAAAGCCAGATCTGGGGGACTTCTAGTGAGGTTCCAATTTGCTAGGTGTGTTGAGGTACAATTTAGAAGCAGAATTGTGGTTGGAGGGGTCTTCACGGGTTTGGGCCACTTAGGAGACCCAGGGCCACACTCCAAGGACAGGGCAAGCCTGGTGGTTCAGTGGTTGGAGTTGTTGCAGGAAGATGTCTCCCGATGTCCCCTGCCCCAGACCTAGAGAGGAACTGTGTTCTATAGAACAAACAAAACTTGTCATGGAGTCGGACACTTTTGGAGGGCTGCCTGATCACACCCAGGCAGGACTAAGCCTCGGCCGTTAGCTGGTGGCTCTGGGTGGTTGCCAGGCACCATTGGGCTGGGGCCCACCATCTATCCTCTGTTTGTTATGTGCAGCCACAGCTGAACTGTGTTCTAGTTCATCTGGAGGCTGTGGGGACTCTGGGAGTGACAGCGTGCTTAGAAAGGAGTTAGTGGTGCCTGGAATCCCCAATCCACCGCAGAAGACCCCCCATCCCCCACCCCCATCCCGCTCTCCTCAACATGGGTCTATTTATCAAACTTGAGGCAAAACTTGAGCACCCAAGAGTGTTCTGTTCAGCTGATATCTACACAGGAGATCGGGGTGAAGGACCCCTGGCTTAGCTTAGGGGGACACACACCTCCTGGGAGAAGGTGACAGAAAATTGAATTTAGGCAAGAAGGGTGCTTCAGGTGAGATGCTCTGGGCCTGCCATGGCTTTGCATATGCATAGTAGGAGCTCAGTGAGTGTAGGTGTTGAAACCGAGGAAGGCTTCATCCATATATGGACTACATCAGTAGCCCAGCATGAGGAGGCTGAACCAACTTCCTTGTGTTAGGCGGGTAGCAGGACATTCTGAAGTTGCAGAGGCCTCCAGTATAAAAAGGGTGACCCCAGCATCTACTGGGAGCACACCCCCAGGTTCAGAGCTACAAAAGAGATTTGACAAAAGTCTTTTGCAGTCACCAACCCTGGGCCTGAGAGAATTTTCCCAGCCTGTCCCCTCCCTGCCTCCGGGGGACGGGACTGCCCTGGCCCTGGCCCTGTATCTCTCAATTGTTCAGGCAGTTTGCCAGCTGCCTGGTACCTGCCAGCCCTGCAAGTCACAGGTGGAGGTGGGGCAGGGTGAACACTGCCTGTCGATGAGGACTGCCTAGAGTGTTCCCAGGGGGGCTCTGGTGGGGTGCAGGGGAGAAGATACCACCTGCCACCAGGGGTGCAGGATGAGGTGGGAGCCTCTTGTGGGACACCAGGCAGCTTTACTGGGTAGGAACAGACCAGATTCCCAGGCAGGACCTGTGCTACCACTTTGTCACCTCTTGGTCCTGGGGCCGGTCAAGGGGCAGGCACTCTAGCCCCACCCGACTCTGGAACAGTTCTGATCTATCCCACTGGTTTATGGTTCTGTCCTGACTGCAATGGCCATTTTCCAGTGTTCTGTTACACATTCTTGAGAGAGAGAGAGAGAGATTGAATCTCTTGATTTGTTATTGGGTATTTGTGAGGGGGGCGGGGGTCATTCTTTTGTTTTTTTGACAGGGTCTCAGGCAGCCTATGTAGCCAAGAAACCTTAAACTCCTGATCCTCCTGCTCCACTTCCTGAGTGTTGTGATTAAAGGCATGTGCCACCATGCTCAGCTTCTCTTGTTTGTTGGAAACAGTGTCTCCCCATATAGCCCAGGCTGGTCTCAAAGTCCTGATCTCCCTGCCTCAGCTTCCTGAATAGCTGTGAAGACAGTCATGGTACCTATTCAGGCTAGTCTTAATAACTCAGCACCACCCCCAACCCCCACAACATCAAACAAGCCAGCCCTTTGAGGGGCTCCATCACCCCCACTGCCTCCCACTACACACACACTGAGGGGTCTGTTCTGTCAGATGAATAAGAGACCGCCTGGCCTGGATGTCCTCAGCCCTGAAGGAGGAGAGGACCCTGAGAGGACAGCAGGGCCGGAGGGGGCCTGAGCTATTGAGTTTGGGGTTCAGACAGGAGACACTAAGCACAGAAAACAGGGTGGCGGTGGGGGAGAAAGAGGAAGCAGAGGAAGGGGAAGGCAGAGGAAGTGAATCTGGTCTTCTGTGGAGAACTTCGCCCTCACAAAGAGCTGTCACTGTCAGGCAGGCACCCAGCTGGCAGTCCTAGCCTGGCCCAGCCGATGGATGACACCTGTAGCTTTAATACATTTTTTTTCCTTCAAGGGTCCCCTGCCCTGAAAGACCTTACAGCAAGAGAATATTTACAATCTAATTCTCCTTCTCTCAGAAGCCACATGTCACTTCTGCTGGGGACATTCAAGCCCAGCTGTCCAGGAAGACCCTAAGCTACACATTTGTAGGGAAGAAATTGAGGAAGAGGAGAACTTCCTGTTATACTGGCAAGGGTTCTGTCCAAGAGGGCGGGTCCCTGGAGACAGCAGGATGTCAGTAGTCAGTAAGACACTAACTAAATGAATGAGGGAGGGCCTGGAGTGTTCCAGAAAACATACTCCCTTTTTACAGACTAGGAAACTGAGGTGGGACTGACTGAGTACCCAGTGCCTTGAAATCTAGCCGTAAGGCCTCTGTACTCAGGGCCCCTCCCTGGGTAAAGTGGCCTCTGGAATGTCCCCGGGGACTGGGTCCAAGGACTGCTCCGAAGCTGGAATTCCTAGCCCCACCTCCTCCTTAGTACATATTTCTAACTCCTGGGGCTCAGTAAGGGCAAGCCGAAGGCTCCTGGTCATAGGGTACCACTGGAAGAATGTACTGGAAGCCTGCTGGTAGGGTCCTCCTCACCCATACTCTGATGATCCAGAGTCCCTCAGGGCTTTTAGAATACAGGAGGTTTGTGAATGAGTGTGGGGTTCCTCTAACTAACTTCTTAGCCTTTGGGGCCAGCTTCAGGCTGCCCTCTCCAGGCCCAGAGGGAGCAAGTGATCCAGGTAAGATGACCCAGAAAAGGAATAGCCTGGGGTCAAAGCAGCTGGACCTTTCCTCCCAAGCAGCTGCTGAGTTACACAGCCAAAATACCTGCTCCCTACTCTGAGGCTCCAGGGGCAGGGAGGCATGTAGGATGGTTTCTCCAGCCCTGTTTTGAGCAATGGGAATAAAGTAAGCAGATGTCTTGAGCTAGCCCTCAAACAAGAGAATGCTTGCTGGTACCAAGAAGGAAAGCAAAGGATTTCTTTAGGGCTGGCTGGGTGGCTCGGTGTAGAAAGGTGCTTGTCTCCAAGCCTCACTACCTGAGTTCAGTCTCTGGGATCCCCCAAGTTGACCTCTGACCTCCATGTTAGAACTGGGCCATGTATGCCCCCCCACCCAGACATAAATCAATGGAGGGTTTTTGTCTGTTTGTTGATGTTGTTTGCCTTTGAGACAGGGTCTCACTGTGTAACTCCAACTGGCCTGGAACTTGCTACACAGACTAAGCTGGTGTCAAACTCACAGAGATCCACCTGCCTCTGCCTCCTGAATGCTGGGATTAAAGGTGTATGCCACCATGCCCTGGCTCTAAAACATTTTTAAAAATTTTTTTTTTTTATTTTCCAGAGTTGAAGACCGAACCGAGGGCCTTGTGCTTGCTAGGCAAGTGCTCTACCATTGAGCTAAATCCCCACCCCTAAAACATTTTTTAAAGGTTAATTTATTGCTTTTTTTTTTTTTTTTTTTTTTTTTTTGGTTTTTCGAGACAGGGTTTCTCTGTGTAGCTTTGCGCCTTTCCTGGAACTCGCTTTGGAGACCAGACTGGCCTCGAACTCACAGAGATCTGCCTGGCTCTGCCTCCCGAGTGCTGGGATTAAAGGCGTGCGCCACCACCGCCCGGCTAATTTATTACTTTTATTTATGTGTATGTATGTGTGCCTACAGGAGTTTATGGGCACCATATGAATGCAGATGCCAGAGAGTTGAAAGCCACCTCATGAGGGTGTTGGGAACGGAACTCAGGTTCTCTGCAAGAGCAGTTAGTATTCTTAGCCACTGAGCCATCTCTCCAGCCCTCCCAACCCCCCAAAAAATTTTTAAAGGTTTCTACCAGGCAGTGGTGGCGCAAGCTTTTAATATCAGCACTTGGGAGGCAGAGGCAGGCAGATCTCTGTGAGTTCAAGGTAGGCTGGTCTATATATAGAGTGAGTTCCAGGATAGCTAGGGCTACACAGAGAAACCCTGTCTCAATCAACCCATCAATCAATAAGGTTTCTGTCGGAAGGGCACATGGTGAGGGTGCTTTTTAAATCTTTGTTATTTATATTACATTTAGTTATTTGTGTGTATGTGCCCCAGCAAACCCGTGGAGATTAGAGGACAAAGCCTGGGAGGCAGCTCTCCCCTTCTACCATGCAGGGCCCAGGAATCAGACTTTGTGGCAAGAGCTGGAACCCCTGAGCCGTCTCACTAGCTTTTTTGTCTTTCTTTGTTTTAGATTCTCATAGGCCTGGCTGGCTTTGAATCCCTGATCACTGGGTCCCCACCACTGGATGACACAGACATGTCCCACCATGCCCAGCTGTTGTTTTTGTCTTGAAACAGGGTCTCACA